TCCCCCCCCCCCCCCTTTTTTTTAACCCATTTGGTGAATTGGAGGTGAAAAACAATGGGTGAAAAAAAGGGAGATGAGAAAATTACAGTGATAATAAGAGAAGTGAATGAAGAAAGAGACACAGAAATGGTGGAAAAACTGGAGAGAAGCTGTGAAATTGGGTGTAAATTAGGAGGGGCCTCCATTTTTACCGATATGATGGGCGATCCTCTTTGTAGGATCAGATTCTACCCACTTCATATTATGCTGGTCGGTTCCATAAAATTCCATTATATAATCATTCTTTACTGTCTTTTTATTATTTTTTTATTTTTAAAACAGGTGGCTGAGCTGCCGGAAAAGGGAGACGTCGTGGGAGTGGTTAGAGGCTGTATTAAGTCTGTGGGGACTGGCGGCGCCGCCGCCGGAGAAGCTAATACCACCAGGATTGGTTGCATATTGGGGCTTCGTGTTTCGCCTGCTCACAGGTAATAAATATATGATTTAAATCTAATTAGTTATTCTTTAATTAATTATTAATTTTAATTCATTCACAAAATTTTAGTGGGTGAAGTATAAATAAATAAATCTCTCTCTCTCTCTTTATTTAAAATTATTATAAAGTGTTTCTCTTAAGTATTTTTTAAAATCTCAGTATATTATCTAATTAAACAGTATGAAGCTATTATTATTATTATTATTCTTACGAATATTATAATTTAGTAGTGTAATTAATTTAAATTTCTATAGATTTTTTTAATAGTTGTGCTAGACTTAGGTCATATATTATACTATTTTGAAAAATATTTTTAATTGGCCAATTTTCTTTTCTTCGCTATTTTGATAAATTCTTTAAAATTTATATTTTAAAGTGTTTTTAGATAACTAAAAATCGTTTAAAATTTAGAGCATGATTCTACCAATTAAAATAAAATTTCCTAAGTGGTTTCATTTAAAAAGTTCTAAAAAAAAATATCAATTTTCTCCCAAGAAAATACTTATATAACAAAAATTTCAAATAAATTTTATAAACAAAATACATCAAATCGAGTAAATAATAATCTATTCATTGATCTATGAACTTTCGAGATGGATTCTAGTAATTTTTTTTTTTTGGTTGAACTTTTAAAAATAGCATTCAAGTCCTTGAACAATTTTAAAACGGGAGCACATTTGAATTTAGGGACATAATTGCAACTTATCTCAAAAGTTGGAGGTAGTTTGTATTATGAGATCCCACGTCGGTTAGTGAAACATTTCTTGTAAGGATGTGTAAACCTCTCCTTAGTAGATGCGTTTTAAAACCGTGAGGCTGACAACAATACGTTAACCAAAGTGAACAATATCTGTTAGTGGTAGACTTGGACGGTTATAAATGAATCTTATTATTTTGAAGTCAAACAATAACACGTAGGAAGTCGGGATCCTTCGAGATCCTTCGAACCTCTTAACTAGGTGGAGAGAGCAATATATATGCACATGTTGGCTCTAGCTATTCATTAAATTAAATTACATGAAACAATTTTTGTGATGATATTATATTGATGTTATTATTGGTGTAGGAGGTTGGGAATTGGGCTAAAGCTAGTACACTCAGTTGAAGAATGGGTAATAAGAAATGGAGCTCCCTATGCATTTCTAGCAATAGAGAAGAAGAACAAAGCCTCAAAGAATCTCTTCACTCGCAAATGCAACTACGTAAAATTCAGCTCATTGGTGATATTCAGACAGCCAATTGTGTTCCCAACAAAAGACATCTCTAATGGGGAAATAAAGACAGAGAAACTGAACATAGAGCAAGCAATTTCATTCTACACGAACTGTCTCACAGCTAAAGGAGTTTATCCAATGGATTTTGATGTGATTTTGAAGGAAAAACTGAGTATTGGCACATGGGTTTCTTATTTCAATCAAGAAGATTGGACCCATTTGATTTGTTCAGAGAAGGATTCAGAGATTTACCAGAGAATGCCAAGCTCTTGGGTGGTGTTTAGCATATGGAATACCTGCAAGGCATATAAGTTTCAGATAAGGGAATCAAAAAAAGATGAATTATTGTTACCTCTAAGGTTCTTGAAAAGTGCAAGAAAAAAGTTCATTTCCTGCTTCAAAATGCCAGATTCTGTGTCGTTTGGGAAGTCATTTGGATTCTTCTTCCTGTATGGGATATTTGGGGAGGGGGAGAGAGTCGGAGAGCTTGTCGAGTCGATATGGCTTTTCGCTTCGAGATTGGCTGAAGAAGAGAACGACTGCAAGGCCATTGTCACCGAACTATCTGTTTCTGACCCAATCATAAACCACGTCCCCCAAAATAATAAATCCATGTCTCGCATCAACGATAACTGGTACCTGAAAAGATTGAGTGTACAGAGTAGTGATGATGAAAGGGATGAAATGTTGTTGTCAAAGGATATGGAAGCAGCTGCAAATGTGATTGTTGACCCCAGAGACTTCTAGATTTCAATATCTATTCATACCTGGTTTTGCTCCTTTTTCTACATCAATCTTCTGTTCAAGATGCTGACAGCAAAATTAATGGTAAAGACCAAGTTTAAATAGTTCGTAAAACAAGATGATTATAACTCGTTAAAAATTGCAAGTAGAGGTTGAGAATTGAAACTAAACAATAATTAAAAGCTCCTGAAATGGATTTGATACACTGGCACAAAATTGTTTGAACTTTCTGTGATCGTACTTTTGAAGAAATTCTTACCAGATAGTTCATTAAAACTGACTTGTATCCTTCGCAATCTGGCAACTATCCGGAAGATGTGAGATCTCACGTCGGTTGGAGGGGGAACGAAGCATTCCTTATAAGGGTGGGAAAACCTCTCCCTATCAGACGCGGTTTAAAATCACGAGGCTGACAATGATACATAATGGGTCAAAACGGACAATGTTTACTAGCGGTGGGCTTGAGCTGTTACAAATAGTATCAAAGCCAGACAACGGACAGTGTGGCAGTGAGGACGCTAGGCCCCCAAGGGGGTGGATTGTGAGATCCACATCGGTTGGAGAGGGGAACGAAACATTCCTTATATGGGTCTGAAAACCTCTCCCTAGTATACGCATTTTAAAGCCGTGAGGGCTTGTGCTGGATGATTTGGATGATTCTGTTGTTTGGCTCTGTTAAACATCCAACTTTGATAGTTGAAACAAACTCAGTTTCAGTTTCAGTTTAAACCACATTGTTACCAGTAGAGGAGGCAGCCGAGTCGTCTATGCAGGCGTTTCCAGTGCCTCCATCTGCTGTTCAAGACGTGGTGAATGGTTCTTGCTCCAGCATCAACAGTTCGTCTCTTTTTGCTGCTAGTGCTGGATCAATAACCTCTAACAATCCCATAATCCACGAAGCATCATCCACAACTTCAGTTCACTGTTGCAAAACCACCTTCACTTTCTTATCCACATAACAAACTCAAATTTCAAAAGCTTATAATCATAATCAGCATCACTTGTTCAAAAGCTTCAAAAGTCAAGCAGCCATTTCAATATCAAGAAGTGATCAAGTTAAAATTACAGTTTGAGTTGATGTAATGTAACTGAGGTTCTGACCTGCTGGAAATAGAGATTTCAAATTTCCTCGACTCGGATTGCATTCCCTTGATCCTGTTCCAATGCTGTGTTGAACACAACTCACTGTGGGAAACACTCGCTCTCTTTATTAAGACCAATCGAGAAGAGAATACAAGACACTCTGTAGAATACTTCTGCTTTTTATTGTTTTTAGATTTCTTGGATGAATAACCTAGGTAGGGTGGGGGTATTTATACTAAGAGTAAACAATCTATATTTAACCAATCTAAATCTAGACCTAACCGATTTGAATCTAGACCTAACAAATTGAATCTTTCTCCTAAAATATCTACATCTCTTTCTCCTAAAATCTCTACTAAAATAAATATACTGGGCTCGTACAATTAGGCTTGACTCTATTGGGCTAGTACAATTATTGGGCTTGACTCTATTGGGCTAGTGATGATATTTCAACATGCTGCCCATGCCATCCATGTTACGTAACTCTGAGAATTTATGTTTAGAGACGATCTATATGAAGTAAAGCAATCCAAGTAAGTAATATTTCGACTCCAAGCCTGAGTAAAGATTCTTGCACTTTAAACTATGGTTCTGTATGGTACTGTTTTTGGTTCAAATCTCATTTTTCGTTCTCGCTCCATTTTTTATCTCAGAACTTTTAGAATGTTCATTTTCGTACTTGAACTCTCAGTTCTATCTTATTTTAGTCCTTAAACTTGAAAATTATAACTATTTTGTTCCTAACCTTTTACTTAGCTTTTAACAAATTGATCATACAACTTTGAATATGTATTTTAGCATGTTAATATGAGCATGATTTCAAACCATAAATCGGTGAGATGATATTAGATGCATGTTAATAAATCGGAGCCCTAAACCTGCCAAATGAAGGAGTCTTTTCCAATGCCTCCTCCGACGCCTCTCTGTTCACGCCGTCCTATGATCGATCGGCGACGAGAGCCACCGTTGAGGAGCCTCTGGAAGAACAGCACGGCGGAACGGAGATGGAACTGGAGCAGAATGGAGGGGAATAGTGGAGATATTGCATCTGTATTTCGATAGATTGTAAGGATTTTGAGAGGAAGAGATGAGATTGAAGGAGAAGAAGAGAAGAGGTTGATTACCGTCTGATTTTGCTTTCGAAGGCGCTCTCTGGAGAAGAAGAAGAACGGAGACTAAATTACGATTTTAACCTTCCAAATGTACTGCCGATACGCCTTTCTGTCGCGGAAGAAACGAAAGGGTATTTTCGGTATGTTGGGGGCTAAAATGTGACTGGTACTATTTTCCACGTGGCGGCCATTGAAGTGGCTCGGCACTTTTATCCTTGCGCTTATTTTTTTTACACGTGGAGGCAATTTGTTGGTTTGATTTTGTGGATTTCTGATATGCTGCCGATAAATATCCGATACCGAATTAGGAACCGGATCCGATTCTTCAAAAAAAAAGCTGCCACCGAGTCACCGAGTCAGTCCGGTTCAGTGAAATTAATTTTTATTTAATATTAATTTTTTGATAAAATATATATTTTTTAACTTAAATAAAAATATCATTTTTTTTCTTTTTTTTTTTAATGAAAAATTTATTATTTCATTCAAATTATGTCTTCATCTATAATTCTAAATATAAAAAAAAAAATACTCCTATGTACCCGTTCTCTCTTTTTATTTTATTTTATTTTATTTCTAGACCAGGTTATGTCTACCCGAGAACGAATTTTTCATCGACAATACAACACATTTGTTTCAGTTACAGAGGCGACGAGGCTTGCTAACCTGGCACCCAACCCAACAAGTCAGGGGTGGGTCAGCCATAGGTTCGGTCCAACTCCTATCAAAACTCTAATCAATAATCAGGGGTGGCTCAAGAGACGCTAGCATTGACGAGAAGGAAAAAGCCACATCTTACGACCCGCTCCACTTACTTTATTTAAAAAAAATAATACTTTAAAACCATGAGGCTAACTATGATATGTAACGGGTCAAAGCGGGCAACCGAAACAAAAATTGAGACCCAAACAATGCCAGATTGTTCTAGGTCAACGCCACACTCAATTACTGATTTCAAATTTTGTCGAAAATTCGAAATGATTTCTACAATATTACACTTGACATTTCTTCTTAAAAGTTAATCACATCGTTTCTAGTCAACATTGTCTCTAATCATTTAAAGTCAACACCGTCTTGATAGAAAGTTGACTTTCTTTCCAAAAGTTGAGTTTCTACATCTTCAATGTCGAGAAAACTATAAAGTCATAGATAAACGTTAATGAATCAAGTACAAAAAGAAATAAGTGAACTTAAACATAGCCTAACCGTAACACCTCAAACCCACTACTAGCAGATATTGTCCACTTTGGTTGGTTATGTATCGTCGTCAATCTCACGGATCTAAAACACATTTGTTATCTGTTAGGGAGAGGTTTTCACACCCTTATTATAAGGAATGTTTTGCTCCCCTCTCCAACCGATGCGAGATCTCACAATCCACTTCCCTCGGGGGCCCAATGTCCTAACTGGCATACCGTCCGATGTCTAGCTCTAATACCACTTGTAAAAGCCCAAGCCCACCACTAGTAGATATTGTCCGCTTTAGCCCATTACATATCATCATCAGCCTCACGGTTCTAAAATACATATGACAGGGAAAGCTTTTTACACCCTTATTAGAACGAATGCTTCATTTCTCTTTCCAACTGATGTGAGATCTCACAATCCACTTCCCTTAGGGACTCAACGTCCTAGCTAGCATACCGTCTAGTGTCTGGCTCTGATATCACTTGTAACAGCCCAAGCCCACTGCTAGCATATATTATCCACTTTAGCCCGTTACATATTGTCATCAGCCTCACGGTTTTAAAACGGGTCTACTAAGAAGAATTTTTCACACCTTCCACTCTCCAATCAGTGTGAGATCTCACACTAACTGATTAAAGACACATCGAAAACGAAATGTTGTGTCGGGGCAAGGGACAGGACAAGAAATAGCTCCAAAGATGGCTATTTTAACGAATAAATTACCAACACATCTCGGGTTATTGAAACTGATCGGGCGAGTCGAATTGCCATGTCAAATCCTCTCATCTTTATTAGGGTTTTGGTTGTACAAGGCTTCGATGATTCTTCACCTGCCCACCTTTTTATCTCCAATTAGTCAAACTCAAGCATGCATGGTCCACATCACAACACAAATTATTGACCACAAACTTTATTCATAAGTCTCCTTCGTGTTGTACTTTGGTTCTTAGCAACGCGTGCTTTACAAGCATGACAATGATAAAGCCTATATGTTACGAAGATTGGTCAAGTGCTCGATCAATCAGAGCGTTCAGGATTTAGATATCGATAAATTATTCAAATAAAAGTTCTTTTTCAAGTTGGATTAGGTCGTTATCTACTCGTGAAATGTTCGGATTGAGAGAATAATTGAAGTACTTTAGGTCATAGAAAAGGTCGTGCATGAACACGAGGGCTTTCGTGTCAATATTCATTTGTTTCTTTTAAATTCTTAATTACCCATTGAAATTCTATGTGTTTCGTCTCGTAATTATAGAATATAATACAAACTGAAGTGTATTAATCATATCATAAGAACTTCAAGATAGATGTGGGGATTGTACCCTAGATTCTATATTTATAAATGAATGAAAATTGAGCTTACATGAGAAATCTGAGCATCATATTTGTCATTTATGAGTTCTAATAAATTTTTAATCTCTCAATAAAGTTTTTAAATTTTGCTTCTAAATCTTTGATCTCAATAAATAATCTAATTCTAAAAAACATTAATTTCTTTGATTTAAGCGTTCTTGCTTTATCAAAAGCTTAGATTAAAATTAGGGTTGCTCGAGTATTTAGTTGCACTAACTTTCCATTAAAAAATTTAATTCATATTAGTCGAGATACATTTAACTGATCGAGAACACTACTTAAGGGTTTAGAATCGACAAGTATCCTAGTAAGATGACATACATGTTCCAATTTAATCCCTCAATTTTGATCGGTAGCAATTTAGTCTTTATATTTTTAATTTTATAACAATTTAATATATAATTTTTAATACATAATAATGTAGTCCTTATACTTAAATTAAATTAACGTTATTTAATTATAAATAAATAAATAAAATATTATATATATAATTAATTAATTAGGAAACATTATTATATATTAACTTATCATTTATCATAAAATTAAAAAAATATATAAACTAAATTATAATAACTAAAGTTTATTATTTAAAAAATATATATTATTCGAAATTTTTATAACAGTAGAATTTGGACTTTATCATTATTTTAATTACTCGTGATAAAATATAAGTTAAAAAGAAAATTATTTTAATTTACTTTTTAAGTACAAATATTTGTGATATTATTTAAATCTTATTTAACAACTAATTTTTGTCTACTTTTTATTTACAAATTTAAATTAATATCGAAAATATAAAACAAATTTTGTAAATTATAAGATAATAATTTAAAAACTTATTTTATTCTGGCATAAAATTAATGGGAGCGGCGGTCTTTTTGTTTTCCCATAAAATATTACCGCCAGCGGCTTCTGCTCGCTTCAAAGACTCAACAGATTCTGCTCCATTATTTTATTATTATTATTAAAACTAATAAAATATTATTAACTTTTGGATAAGAAAGTGCCACCCTGTCATAATTCGTTTTCCTTTCTAAGAGACACTTTATTAATTTAATTTAAATTTGGGGGCAAAAATATATATATTTTTTTTACTGGCTATAGTAAACTTTAAATTTTCATCCGGTAATAAAATATTGTATTTTTTTTTTACTATAAGTTAAGGCTCTCTAATATAATTATTTTATTTTTACTTTTTAAAAATTACTTAATTTCTCACCATAGATAATTAAATAAAGAAATAAATCGATAATGTTTGTATCTTCTCCCAACTGTCCTAATTTTCGTTAGTTTTTTTTTCATTGTCTTTATGATGGAAGAGACGTTGAGATTAATTGGTTGTAGTCATTGCGGGAATATTTCTCCTCTTCTAACCCACATTGGTCAAGGATTGAGCTAGTTTCAGCTTCAAACGGTTCCGTCGTAAACCTCAGAGTTAGGATACTGAGCCCTTTTCGGACAGGGTCGGACTCTGACTTCCTTCTATTTAGACCAACCACGGTTGGTTGTCATTGTACGTCGTTGGCACGATCGATGGCGACTATAATTTTCTCACTCGTTCTTTTAGCTCCAATCTTTCTGTTCTTAACGACTTGTTTCCGTTTTTTTAACCCATTTGAAATGGAGGGGAACTCGTTTTGTTTAAGTTATTTAAAAAAAAAAAGACGGGAGAGAGAAAAAAATGTTTTTTTTTAATTTAATAATTAGAAAATTAGGAAAGTATTCTTTAAATACGAAAAGTTTAGGGGTTGAAAGTAGATTTTTTTAAAAAGCTGTTAATTATTAACAGCCTTTTCTCTCATTTTGGTAATAAATAAATAAATAAATAAATAAATAAAATAAAATAAAAATAAATAAATAAATAAAGGAGAAGGGAAATAAGCCACCAATCAAAAGCATTTTCTTTCATATTTCCAATTTTCATCCGCAAAGATGATGGATAGAGAAAACCCCAAGAATTCGCAGAGAAAATAGTGAGGAAAAAAAAAAGAGAGAGAGAGACAGAGAGACATCGAAGAACAAATCAGGAATTTTTATTTTTTCTATTTTTTTTTCTTGGAATAATCTTTTTTGTTTGTTTTTGAAATACAGAAACAACTGTTCACGATTCAATCGTGTTACTGCAACTCACGTACTATTGAAATCTCTCAATTCAGCCGGATTTTCTTTTGCTCATAGTGATGAGAGTTCGGTTATCTGTTTGCTTTTGATTCTGTTTTTTTTTTTTTTTTTTTTTTTTTTTTTTTTTTTTTTTTTTTTTTTTTTTTTTTTTTTTTT